GTGGAGGTGTGTGCAGTAGGTCCGAGTGGTGGGCAGGGAGGGCCTCTGGAGGAGGTAGAGCGTGTGCCTGTCATCTTAGGAAGCACCCGGGGGCGACCCGGCCTTCTCGGGGGTAAACATGGCCTGTATGTCACCTTTTCACCTGAGTGAAGACATTAGGGTGTGAGAGATGCTACCAGATCTCTGTGAACCGTAGCACAGACGGCTTCGCCGTGAATTCGGGGAGTCTACGAGCAGGAGAGAGAAAAGACGTGTGTACCCACTGCCATCTGGTGGACAACACGGGGACTGCGGACGAGGCGAGGAGAAGGATGGAATTTTGTTTGGATTCAGGGGTGCTGTCCGCTTCTCGGGCTCCACCTTCTGAGAGTCTTAAAGATCAGCTTCCCCACCCTCACAGCCTTGTCTGGGTGACTTCCAGGAAACTACTGGAAACCCTTCTAAGAAATAACTCCTCTAATTGGCGGCCAGAAAAGATGCAGGGCCACGCAGGGCAGCGCTGGGGCAGGGTGGTTATGGGGGTCCCTCCAAGGTCGCTGTTAAATAAATGACGACCCGCCTGGGCACGCGTTCCCCGTTTACGCTCCTGCGGGCTCTGCGACAGACCATAAAGGCCCCGGCTCTGCCTGCTCGGCTCTGCCGCCCCACCGCCCGGGTGAGCCTCCGCCGGCCGTTATCTCACCCCGGCACATTCTCCTCGGTCCAGGAAACTGTGGAAGTGAGTGTAGCTCGCAAAACTCCAGGCCGTAAATGGGAAGCCGGGGGACGAAACCCAGAAGTCCCCATCAAGCTCAAGCCAATTACAGCGTGGAAACGACAGCATCCATCAACCACGGAACCGCCCCCTGGGCCATGACCAGAAGGCCCTGGGTCTGGGCGCGGGAACAGAGACAATGCAGCAATAACTTAACAACTTTGTGTCTTCTGGGTTCCGAGAAACACCTGGTCGCCGTTTCCACCTTTCTCTTGACTAGCAGAAACACTTTTAAGCAAGACTATCCATCAGAAAAATGCTTCCACAATTACCCTGGAATTTTTATGCAGGAAGTCTTCATTTATGTTCCGCGGTTTATGGCCTCTACTCTGAACAGGGAACAGGCGGTATCAAACTATGAAATGAGAGATAAGGCAGACTTTTCCCACAAATCTTTCCACAGAGCCGTTCACCAGGAGCTAAAGGCGGTACCTCTTATTCCCCAGGAAACAACTAAACATACAAAGAAACGGCTGCAGAGACTGGCGAGGGGTCTCAGCGGGTGCAAACACTTGCTGCACAAGTCTGAGAACCTGAGTTTGAGCCCAGAACCCGGGTAAACAAGCCGATACAGGAACACGATCCGCAGTCCCAGCACCGCTGTGCCGAGGGAGGGAAAACAAGCTGATCTGGAAGGTGCAGGGCAGCAGGGACAAGAGAAGCCCGTGTCTCAAGGAGGTGGATGAAGAGAGTACGCTGTAAACTGTCCTCTGAAATCCACTGTGACCATGCACGAAGCCAGGGCGCACTCACGCACGCACACTCGCAGCTCCGCCTTAGCGGGCAACACACGCATGCGCAGCTAGGCCTTAGGTGACAACTTGGTAATTGAGGAAAGGAGGGAGATGCGCACAGCTCCCTGAACTCCTTGCATCCCATTGCATCATGCACCTCTACCCCCCTACCCACACACACACACACACACACACACACACACACACACACACGAAAAACCCATCCCCCATTACGTTGTGTAATTTATGGGATCCTGAAATCAATTACCTTGACTCCTAAACCATGTGGCAGTGAATGTTAGTTATTATTAAAAGACATATGAGGCTGGGGTCAACCGATCTTCAATGCCAGAGGTTTATTAAGTGGGTATGAGAAGGGGGGAGCAGGACATGAAGAGAGAGAGAGAAAAGGGAAGGGGCACCCCAAGAGAGTGAGAGAGAGGGAGAGACAGGAAGAGAGAGAGTAAGAGAGAGACCACCTGTCGGGGTTGGCCCTTTAAGGGGCAAGGTAACCACGCCTTCCAGGTGTGGCCACGTGGCCTGCAACACATGATGACATCATAAGTTTGCTGGGTAACCCAGGAGCAGGTTGTGTTCCAAACTACTAACAGTGAATGTGCTCCTGTAGAGAAACAGCTCTTGCATATAAGAATGTTTTCGTCCTCTGCCCTAGCCCTCACACAAGAGTAGGTCCTGTCGGCGCCTACTGAGCTCTCCTAACTGTGGAAGTCCCGGTTTTTTACACAGCAGGATGGAGGATTCCCTGTCAGCCTCTGCTGACTATCAGGTACTCCAAGAATGCAGCCTTGCCATGGCCCGGGAGCCACTGGCTAGCGCTGAGACCCCTAGAGACTGATGGGTCCAAGACGGCCTGTTTCCCACAGCTCCACAGTCCTGGCCTCCTGCAGCAGCACAGCCTGAGGCCTAGGCTCAGAGCGAGGTGTCCCTCTCACTGCCTGATGGCAATGCAAATCGCTGTCAGTGGCAAGCGCTACAGTGTCATTATGTAAAAGGTGGGACTGAGGAAGAGGGAGGGCTGTAGCCTAACTAACACGTACCCCAGCGTGAAAAGCATGTTGAATCGAAGTCACGGCGACATTTTCACAGGTAGCGGCTAATGCGCAACATCCCCGCACCATCAAAAGGTGCTTCTTTTCCCAATTCTCATCTGCTGGAGCGGCCGCTGCACACCTCCACACCTCAAGAACGTGCTCTCCTCCACACCTCAAGAACCGGATGGTGGAGGGGACTGTCAAAGTGTTGCAGCACAGAGAGTCTGCACTATTTTCTGTTTTATAATGGAGTATCAACGTCTTACGTTACAACACCTTAGACTGAATGAAATCCACAGTATATCATTTTTTTTATATACGCTTTGGAAAATGCATGCCTGAATGTAGCTATGCTTTCCCCAAGGCCTAATCGAGAAAGGTTTTCATAGGATCACTACATTCCATAAGCATTTGAGCCCTCAGACACCACATAAAATCTAAAATTACTAATCTATAAATGTTTAGAGAGACAGCATATAGAAACTTTGGGGAAAAGTTATTCATTTATGATAGCTTACTATTCAGGTACTTTAGAATTTATAGTAACTATGAAGTACCAGTCTTACCAAGGTGTGAACCTATATAAAATTAGATTCAGTTCTGAGCACTCATGTGATTTTAAAAATCTTCCTATTTTTGTGGTTGTAATTAATCAAAGTTTTTTTTTATTTATCTATTTTTTAAAGTGGCTGTTTTGCTTTCAGGTATTTTTTATAATTTATTTATTTTTTATTAATTACGGTTTATTCACTTTGTATCCCAGCTGTAGCCCCCTCCCTCATCCCCTAGCAATCCCTCCCTCATCTCCTTCTATGCCCCTCCCTGAGTCCACTGATAGGGGAGGTCCTTCTCCCCTTCCATCTGACCCTAGTCTATCAGGTCTCATCAGGACTGGCTGCATTGTCTTCCTCTGTGCCCTGGTAAGGCTGCTCCCCCCTCAGAGGGAAGTGATCAAAGAGCCAGCCCCTGAGTTCATGTCAAAGACAGTCCCTGTTCCCATTACTATGGAACCCTCTTGGACACTGAGCTGCCATGGGCTACATCTGTGCAGGGGTTAAATGGATCTAACAAGGACAACAGAGAAGCACACGTGTGTGCGAAAATACCATAATGAGACCCAGTACTTTGTATACTAACCTAAAAAATAAATTTAAAAAACAAAAAGTTTAAAAGAAATTATTAAGCTAAGAACTCTAAGAGGTTACAGAACAACACCTGCTGAGCCTTATGGGGGGATTGAGTTAACAATGGTGAAATAAAACTTGATGAGAAGTCCTGCACAGAATGCTGAGAGGAAAAGTGTTTCTTTGGGTCCAGCAGGGATGGGAGCTGTGGCTTTAATCCTAACTTGGGAGCAGAGTCTGAAGGATCAAAGTGAGAGGCTGCCATGGATTATGTAATAACCATGCCTCAAAAAAAAAAGAAAGAAAGAAAGTATCAAACGAAAAAGGACAAAACACCATAAAAATAGTAGCATATGAATCCTCCGCAAAACTAATCTGTACTCAGTGATTACTGACATCTGCTGGTTGAGTGAACATCACAGCCAGTGTAGTTTGACGATGTGATTTTTTTTCACCCACTCAGCCTTTCACTCTCACCCGTAATTTCTCACAAAGGTAAGTTTTAGGAGGTGTGGAAGTTAGGAAAGGAGAGCAGGAAAACAGAACAAGATGACTTTCCAACAATGGATAGTCACAACTGACAGGACTTCTTTTGTACCATGCCTCCTTCCTATTGGGATCATGAAAGTAAGGTCTAGAAATACCTATGAGCTAGCCTGGGCTCACTCTAACCTTGCTTTTGCCAACTCCAGCCTAGACTCTCCCTCCCACTAACCACAGAACTCCCACCCAGGACATGGGGCTTCCTGCCTGGCATTTCTTTAAGGAATGCTGTTTCACTAAGCACATTGTGTGACTAGAACGTGGAAAAGAGAAACCAGGAGCCGGAGAGGGGGCTCAGCAACTGGGAGCACTAACTGCTCTCAGCGAGCACCCAAGGTCAGCTGCCAGCACCCAGGCTTTGTGCCTCAGAACTGCCTGTAACTCTAGCTCTGTGTGGTGTGATAGCTTATTCTGGCCTTTGAAGGCACATGTATACATACACACACACACACACACACACACACACACACACACACACACACACACCATAAAGAGAAGCTAACACTCCTGGAGAAAACACTGAACACAGAAAGAATACAAGAGTTTCACAATCAATGTTATATCGAGAGCCATGAAACAGGGAAGGGGTGGGGTGGTGAGAACTGAAGAAAATACTAGTATTTTTGCAGCTATGAGTTTGTCACGTTCCTTAACCTGAAGTTGACTTTGAGGGTTTTTATTATTAAAGTTTTCGAACGCTACGTTGTATACATTGTTTGATAGAGTGGACAGGGCAAGACGGAAGCTCAGATCCATTCAGGTAACAGAGCTGCCAGAAGGGAAGCCATTGTCCTCAAGAAGATACTGACTGAGTCTGTGATGCTGTGGGTTTCTTTTTCACACGAAATATTTTCCAGAAAGCTTTCTGGAAACGTCTGTGACATAAGGGGTACAAAAAGGGATTAATGAAAGAATTGAACCACTGCAGCCAAAAGGCAATGTTGTACCAAACTGATTTGGGGCGCTTTCCCCTGGGGTAAGTTGAAAGAACGATTGTGAAGAGACAGTACGGAGCCCAGCAGATGGCGAAGGCACTTAGGAGGATGGCCAGCGACCTGGCTAACTTCCTGCCTCTGAGAAGCTCCAGGCTCTCCCTTTGGTGAAGAGCTAAGGCTTCTGACCGGAAGAGGGAGCCTGCTTTGAAGGCCATGATACTGCTACGTGTGTGACTCCTTAAGGACACCATGAGACGGCTTGTTCTTAGGGGACCTCCTGTATGAAGGGACGAGGCTGATTCCCTCAGCGCAGGAAGAGAGGTCCTGGAAGTCAGCCCAGTTCTGGCTAAGTGTCTGGAGTCACTGGAAGAGGCAGAGGAGGAGCCTGTGTGGCTGGGACACCTGTTGAGATTCCCGCGCTTCCATAGGCTCCAGTAAATTTGCACATTGAAATAGGCCACCAAGATGACAGGGGCCAGGAATTCCAAGAAGGAGGTAATGGCAAGGATGTACCACTTTGTAACAAAGCCAGGCTCACATTCCTTTGTGTTCTTCCAAGAGGCCGAAGCCAGAATCATTGGGCCATTTACCAAGAAAGCCAGGATCCAGACAGCCACCAGTTGAGCAACAATCTTCCCAATGCCCGTGTGCTGAGCCCTGTAAGACACCTGTAAGAAACCAGATAAATTAGTTTTGACTTAATGAAAACATGCAGAGTTCATGGAGCATACCCCCGGGGAATTCAGAAGTTCCAGGGATGTGCAAGAGTCATGTTTACTAACATGATACTGTGCCATGTGCCCAGACAGAGAGGGCAAGGCCACAGAACCTCAGCTAAGATGGATACTTTGTCAGCACTTATCAAGAGGAAACAGAAAACGTCAAGGTGAAGCTTTGAACACCATAGCAAGGCCAAGGACACTATCTAAAATAAGAAAGCAGGTTTCCATACCCTGCTGGGTAGAGTCTTTCAGAGGCCCTCTGTGATAGGCTCCTGTCCTGTTCCCTGTTTCCTCCCTCTTCCGATGTTCATCCTGTTTGCCTTTCTGAATGAGGATTGAGCATCTTATCCAGGGTCCTCCTTCTTGCTTAGCTTCCTTAGGTGTGCAGATTTTAGTATGTTCATCCTATATTATATGTCTATTATCCACTTATAAGTGAGCATATACCATGTATGTCTGTCTGCTTCTGGGATACCTCACTCAGAATGCTCTTTTCTAGATCCTACCATTGCCTGCATATTTCATGATTTCTTTGTTTTTAATTGCTGAGTAGTATCCCATTGTGTAAATGTACCACAATTTCTGTATCCATTCCTCAACTGAGGGGTATCTGGGCTGTTTCCAGCTTATGGCTATTACAAATAAAGCTGCTACGAACATGGTTGAAATGTCCTTGTTGTATACTTGAGCATCTTTTGAGTGGTATAGCTGGATCTTGAGACAGAAGCTTACACTGAGACTCATAGCCAAACTTTGGGCAAAGTTCAGGGAATCTTATGAAAGAAGGGGGAGATAGTAAGACCTGGAGAAACAGGAGCTCCACAAGGGGAGCAACAGAACCAAAAAAATCTGGGCGCAGAGGTCTTTTCTGAGACTGATACTCCAAACAAGGACCATGCATGGAGATAACTTAGAACCCCTGCACAGATGTAGCCCAAGGCAGCTCAGTACCCAAGAGGGTTCCCCAGTAATAGGACCAGGGACCATCTTTGACATGAACTCATGGGCTGGCTCTTGGATCACCTCCACCTGAGGGGAGAGTAGCCTTAATAGTCCACAGAGCTTCCTCTGTGGCTCCAAAGAAGCCAGTCCTGAAGAGACCTGATAGACTATGGTCAGATGGAAGGGGAGGAAGACTTCCCCTATCATTGGACTGAGGGAGGGGCATAGAAGAAGAAGAGGGAGAGAGGGTGGGATTGGAAGGGGTGGGGGAGGGGGCTACAGCTGGGATACAAAGTGAATAAATTGTAATTAAGGAAAGGAAAGGAAGGGAAGAAGGGAAGGGAAGGGAAGGGAAAGGAAAAGAAAAGAAAAGAAAAGAAAAGAAAAGAAAAGAAAAGAAAAGAAAAGAAAAGAAAAGAAAAGAAGAGAAAAGAAAGCAGGTTTCTTTCAAAGCCTGGTGTGGCAGCATGAATCCTAACACACGGCGGTGGGGACAGGAGGATCCCTGGGGCCTCCTAGCCAGTCATGCTAGCCCGACTGGTGAACTCCAGCCAAAGAAAGGCATGTCAAAGGAGGTGAACAGCACTTACAAGAATGACACCTGAGATTGTCTTCTAACCTCCACGCAGACTTGCATGCACACCCGCACACACGTGGCGCCTGCTCACACATAAACGCACACATACAGGGACATGAGAAAAGGCGGATGGGAATGACACTTCCAGCCACCACATGCATCCCTACATGTGTGCGCACGCAGAAAGAAACAAAACAAAGCAAAGAAACAAACAAGCAACGAGAGAGAAGGAGGGAACTTTTCCTGACCCTAATCTGAACGGTTACTAGGACTGAGAACTCGCATGGCAGCTCTGGCCTAGAACACGGCAGGTGTTCTCTCCAATGACGCATCACGCAGAGCGGACATATCGCTGGATGATGTCCCATCACTGAAAGCAACGTGTCCTTAGGAGTTCATATGGAGAAACGTGTACAGAGAAATGTGCACCATGTTACATTCTGCAAGACGGGAACAGCTGTAAACACTTTAAGGGTCGTGGCTGATCTGATTCTGACGCTCACAAAGAATACACTCAGCCGTTCACACAGGGACCTCGCCGTGAAGCCAACAGCAGAAAGAGCACTTGCACCACTCCCGAGAGACTGCACACAAACAGAAAGGCACTCAGCCGTGTTGGAGTGATGCTATGTGTTTCTGAACACTCCCACGAACTTCTGTCTATAAGTGTTTCCATCATAGCCAAAACTATGGATGTAGGCCATGCTGAGAGACATGACCATGACATGTGTCACGTCGAGTGTCAGTGTGTGTGTGTGTGTGTGTGTGTGTGTGTGTGTGTGTGTGTGTGTG